TAGGGGTTGTGACTGCATTGCTATGGCCCATGTTGCTCGCCAGTTCGTCAGGCGAAATAGCACGTCATAGTACATTTGAGATCAGCGGGAAGAAGATGACGACGTCCATTAATTTAGTATCTGTGCACACGAATCTGCTGTGTGTGTGTGACTCTGTGTGTCAGCTATGATTATCATCTTCTGTGGTTCCATACCTAGCATGTACGTCTGAACCATCCTGCAAAGTTTGAATGACGTACGCGTTGAGCGATCGCTCCGCGAAACATACTTTTTGAAATTCTCTTCATAAGTATATCTTCCACCATTGAAATTTCGAATTTCTTCGAATTTTTTGCTGAGAGGGGTGGCTTGCAACCTCGATATGGCTTGTTCCAGGCATGCTTTGGAGCCATCTTCTGTTGAAGTAGTGGCGGTCATCTGCCCTGCAACTGCTGCAACAAAAAATGATTCGATCTGAGAAAGGGTGAGACCGCGAATCTCGGTTGAATATGGAGTATTTCAAGCCTTTTCACGACGAAGATGGAGTTCTTTTTGGAGATGGACGTCGCGGCAAAGGACATGGTGTCCGACTTCTGGCGTCTGGTGAAGCCAGGGATCATTTGTCCAGTCAGGTCGGCAGCCTAACCGTCGGTAAGCTTGTGTTTGGATCCCGTTCTGCTTCATGTGGTAGATCACAAACAATTTGATATCGCACAAATTGATCTCAGCATCGTGCGTACGGTATTTTATATTCAGAAAATCCCAAAGTGTCTCTGTGTGGCCGCCCTATGCCACGAGAAACTCCAATCAGGCTCCTATGTCCTCTGCCTTCATGATTGAATGTCCACTTCGTTTGAACAACAAACACAACAATCGAGGACGGCTTTGCAATGAAAAATACAGCTATACTGGAGCTGAAAAAAAGAAGAAAAAAACGTGCTCAGGATGAGACTCTAGTACACGCATACTCTCCCAGCAGGTGAAATGCAATTTTTTTGTGAAAAATGCGTGTCGCCGACTGACCAGTAAGGCCGCGGTCACACCAAGCGCGATTCAGCCATTCAGCGGAAAAAAGCGCTTTTTGACGTCATCGTCGCTACGGAAACGGCTGAATTTTCGGCTTCAGCCTTTTTCAGCAGTCAGCCGTTTTCAAAGCGCTGAATGGGAGCGCTGAATGGATTCAGCCACTTTCAGCCATTCTGGCGTAGTGGCGGGAAAAATAAACTCGTGAAACGCATCTTGGCATGATCTTGCAGCTTGCATCGTGGTCCGCCACCTTCCGGCTTTCGTTGTTGGTGAAACTTCTCTCCTTGCCTTTTTGTCGGTCATCATGGAATCCTGGACAGTAGCACTGGAGCGGCGACTACTGGAGCTTTGGTTTGAAGCAAAAACCAAGTATGAGACCACTGTGAAAAAAATACCAGAAAGAGAGCGTGAATCTTGGACGAACTGAAGACGTGTGCTGGAGAAGGCGGACGGGAAAACAAGAGAAAATCATATTCAAAAATGAACGGGAAGAAAAAAACTCTAGCACACAAAAAAATCCAGCCGATTTCGCGAAGTGGTGTGACCAACCGCCCCATTCAGCACAAGCCACTTTCAGCGCAAGCGGGAAACGGCTTGTTTGGTGTGACCGCGGCCTAATTTCGCCTGACGTGGTGGAGAAATCCATTGAGCATGATGTGCCACTCTACACACTGTTTGTTGACCTTGGGAAAGCATATGACTCGATCCCGAGGCCGGCGCTATGGGCCCTCCTGAAGAAGCTCGGCGTCCCGCCCACCATGCTGAACGTCATCAAGTCACTGCATTAGTCCATGCAGGTGAAAGCGCGGGTGGGTGGCGGCCTCATGTCCAACATCAACGTCAACAACGGCCTGCAGCAGGGCTGCACGCTGGCCCCTGTCCTGTTCAATTTGTACTTCCCGGCGGTAGTTGACCACTGGCGTCCTATGTGCCCGGACAAAGGTGTCGAGCTGCGGTACAAAGTTGGAAGAAAGCTGGTTGGCGACCGAACTGCCAAGTCATGCCTGCAGCGTCTCACTGTAACGGAGTCACAGTCCGTTGGCGATGCTGCACTATACGCCACGTCCAAGGCATCCTTTGATCGGTGTTCGGAGACTTTTGTGGCCTGTGCTTCTGGTCCGGGACTGACCGTCAGCTTGACTAAGACCAAAGCTATATCAATCAATACTCCCACCAGTGTGCCGGTTCATCTCGGGAATGGAACCATCGACGCCGTTGACCAATTCACATATCTTGGGTCCGTGATTCACTGGGATGGTCTTTGTGCGCATGATGTGCCTTCGCGAATTTCGAAGGCGTCTTGAGTGTTTGGTTGCTTGCGGGCACCTGTCTTCGGCGACCGCTCCTTGTCCCTCCGATGTCGACGTCGTGTCTATGTGGCTCTCTTACGACCCCGTTGTATGGAGCAGAGACCTGGACCACCAAGGCTCCTAATCTGCGCCGTCTTAACGCATTACACCATCAGTGCGTGCAGGGCTATTGTGCGTGCGAGCTATTGTCGGCATCTCGAGACACCAGCAATGGTATGATCAAGTCACTTCTTCAACACTGGCAAAGACCACTGGAATTGATTCGGACATCGGCGACATCATCCGCGAGCGTCGGTTACGATGGCTCGGCCATATTGGCCGCATGAACGATGACCATCTGCCCAAGTGTACCCTGTTTGGGGAGCTCTCCCCAACTCGGCCTCAGCACGGCCCACGCAAGCGTTGGCAGGATGTGGTTGTGGACGATTTCCACCACATTCATCCACCTGTCCCGGAGAAGGAATGGCTCGACACTGCCCAGAACCACTCGGAGTGGAGGGACGTCATCCACCGTCGTCCTCAGCCTCGTGATGTCTCTGCCAAGCCAGAGTATTGTTGTGCTTGGGTTAAGACGTGTCGCCACCCCGGCGATCTCAAGCGCCACGAACGTTTCTGCCGGTTGCCGCCGAAATACTCCTTTCGCTATCATTGCCTATGGCAATGGGCAAGTTCAATGTTCAAGGCTCAAGGCTCAAGGTTTAAGGTGTGTGTATGTGTATGTGTGTATGTAAGTGTGTGTGTGTATGTGTGTGTGTGTGTGTGTGTGTGTGTGTGTGCGTGTGTGCGTTACCATGGTACAGACATATCCGTTACCATGGTACAGACATATCCGTTACCATGGTACAGACATATCCGTTACCATGCTATGTGCCTCAAAGGGTTAAACAATGAAAGGAATGTAAGAACAAATACATGACTTCTTCCTGAAACTCAAACGAACACAAAATAAGCTCATGGTCAGGATCGCCCAGACCCATGGCAAAGCGGCTTCTATGACGTCACATACACATAAACATCCCAGTACATTTTCATAAATTCTTGAAACACCACCCATTCTCCATCCAGAAATAGCTAAAAGAGAGAAAAAACGTAGCTGGCCGTAAGGAAAATCGTAATGGTTGTCGAGATACGTAATTTCATGGTATGCTGCCAAATATCGACCAAACTAAATGGAAACACGGGCAAAGCAGTGTAGTGGACACACATCCGCCTTTGAAGTTAGTTTATGCACCTGTGATTATTGTTTCCGTTTATGCCACACATAATCCTGTTTAGCCTCTTTGGCGGCCGCATGCTGTCTGGCATGCCGGTTGTACCATAATCAATTTAGCTGTACCTGCCCGGTTTGCTCTTCCTTTCATCTCTCTGTCGTTCCCTGTGCTCAAACACACTTGTCAGTTGTTGTAGACAAAGCTAGTCACAAGACGTCTTTGGTAAGCTTGAAGAACGACTACAAGCAACATGTAAATGTTGTGCAGACTGCAGTCATGGCAGGGCAGAAAGAAGATTCACAACACTTCTTACCATTCACAGATGAAATTGCAGCGAAGCCAACCACCAAGATGATGAATAAGGTGCCTGCAGATGTCCAAAAACACCAAGGACAATATTCTGATATGTGTAAACTTTGAACTACTGTAAATCAACAAAATTTGGCCGGTGAGAAACTTTGGCCGATCTCGAAATGAAACTTTTGGCCGTCATTAAACTTTGGCCGATTAGGGTTTTCAAAAAAGAAATCGATCAGTAGTTGATGCTCTCACATGCATCCATGCATCATTTGCCTCTGTGACAAACTTTGGCCGGCGATTTACTTTGGCCGGTTGGTACCCAGCGGCGAAATCAGCGAAATTAAATCGCCAGCGAAAATTAGTTGATTTACAGTATTGGATTGTCCCCATTTTTCAACTCTCCCGTCACTTAAAACTGTGTGGACCCTGGCTAGTGCCAGACGTTACTGAAGAAACGTATTTTGCATAGCTACGGGAATTAAACCCTTTACCCACAGAACTCAACGTATGCAGAGCGTTCCACTGTCTAAATTTTACTTTGAATTGGCCACAACTTTGGTTTTCCTTGGACAATTGTCATACCGCATGTCAGTGCCTTTAAAGCCATGGCCTTATATTCGAAACACCGCTGCTTTCCTAGCTATTTTAGATGCAAAAAGACTCACCCACTACGGCATGCTAAATCCATTTGTTCACCCTTCCTACTGGGCTGTAAGTTTGTTAGTATAGTACTTACTCCTTCATTTTTACAAAATATACTTCAAATATCATTTTGAAACTCGGATAATGAAATAGCATTTTATTTATGAAGCCCATGGTTTTATAACTGAGACTGGCTTCATAATCGAGTATACCACCATGGCTTTAAATGTGCGGACATACGGTATTATCTTCCTCACGAAAGGAACACATTGTGGACTCGAACTCCATTCTATGAGATGCTCTGGCTCAGCGCTGCAAGCTGGCAAAGCTGTTTCAGGGCGTGCCCGCACTGTCAATCGATCTCCATCCGGCATTTTGCTCTCCTTGCTCGTATCAAGCTCATTCCTTTATAGCCACTCACGGGAATCCTTGCTTGAAATTGAGTAAGTCTATCCTTGTCAACAGCTGACATGGGCAGGGAAAACCCCGGCTGTTTTTTTCACACATTGCGCCCTGAGCTAAATTGACTGCGACCAAAAAGAAAGAAAGACAAACCGGACTCGGAGGGAGAGCCAACGATAAATTGATAGAAAAGAAAAGGGGAAGAGTGTGTTGCTCCCTACATGGGAGCTTGCGTTTTCCTGCCGACTTGGATTCTCACTCGACTGCCATCCAGAGCACACGAGAAGTCCATCGAACCGTCCACTCAGCAAACCTGCAAGAAAGCTCCACTCCCTGCTCAATACACAGTGTTTTGAGGAATTCACCCCTCATCAGTTGAGCTTGAGTAGGTTGAAGAAGATTGTGCCTCCAAAGCACCACTTATGTAGTGCTCTCCAGGCACCAATATCACCAGGGATGCAAACTTAGAGAGAAGCTCCGTTTCCAGCGCGACAAACACCTCGTGAACACCAGATAGCCGTGTGAGTCAGTGTCGGCAGGAAAACCGGGAGCTCCCATGTAGGGAGCAACACACTCTTCCCCTACTATCGCCGAAGTTGCACCAACCTATTCTTCACATAGAAAGGAAAAAGGACCAAGGAACTACAAGTTACACTATAATGTCCACTAACACCACCAGTAACGAATAATCAGCTCATACGATAACATTGCTCGACACTGACCAACAAAATGTTCAAACATCTACCGTATGTCCGCACATTTAAAGCCATGGTGGTATATTCGATTATAAAGCCAGTCTCAGTTATAAAGCCATGGGCTTTATACATGAAATGACATTTGACGTATGTTTTGTAAAAATGAGGGAATAAGTACTATGCTAACAAACTTACAGCCCAGTAGGAAGGGTGAACAAGAGTAGTATAGTGCGGTAGGGGCTCTGACTCAAAAGTCACCTCCATCTTCCATATATGGACTATTCATCCTTATATGGCGGCTCAAAGGTCAAAGGTCACCTCAAAGGTCATCTGCCATAGATGGCCTATTCTTCCTTATTAGGCATCCATGGGTCAAAGGTGACTTTTGGGTCAGAACCCCTACCGCACTATACTACCAAGAGTACATAACCAAGAGTGTGCAACTGCTTGCACAACCTCTATGCTCACTACTATGCTGTGCTGCGACGGCAGAACTTCACATCACGTGACATGGTTCAAAAGGTTATGCTGGCAAACAGTGCAAAGTGACCACAAGAGAGTTGTACCCAAAGCTGGGCTGCGTACAACCCAGTATCTATCATGCACTAGAGTGCACGGGTTCATCACGTGATGTGAAGTTCTGCCGTCGCAGACCCCATAGCTGGAGTTGCACACTCTTGGGTTATGTACTCTTGATACTAGGGAGGTTCTGCTATACGTGAAACGTAGAGAAATCACGTAGAGAGCAGGTGTCTGGGTTAGAGTCTACGGCTTCGCGAGTTTTGGCTCCAGATTTCTACGCGGAGATGGGGTTCTCTACGTTGTGGCACACGCAGAGAAAATGCGTACGGATTTGCTGGGTATCGATCAACTGCATGCAGAAAAACTGCCAAATATGGAAGGGGAAATTCCCAGTACACATTCCACGTGACTTCTCTAGGTGAAACGTAGAGCAGAACAGCATTTCTTTACGTTACGGGAACGCGAAGAAAGTTCGCGTGATTCTTTGCGTCGCGTTCCCAAAACGTAGAGCAGAACCTCCCTACTACTAACAAGTGGATTTAGATTGAAATTTCTGTGTGGACTTTGACTTTTATGGCATGGCGTAGTGGGCGTGTCATTTTGCATCTAAAATATCTAGGAAAGCAGCGGTGTTTCGAATATAAGACCATGGCTTTAAAGGCACTGACATACGATAATTAGTACCGTAAAGTACCGCCAGAGCGCCCCACCTTGATTTTACAGCCAGAGAAAGGAAAACTGTAGTGGCAGAGTGCAACGAAGTTTGTGCGATGTGAGAGTCTTACTGTACTAAGATCACGCTTGGCATCTTGGCAGGGTTTTGTGTGGAGCCTATGTCCGCTCCAAGGTACGGATTGACTGCAAAACGTGCAGTATGTGTACAAGGTTCATGTCGTATGACCTACAGACAGCAGACCACCTCCACAATACGACCACGAAAGGATGAGATGGTGGGGCGCTCTGGCGGTACTTTACGGTATACCTGAAATACTTGGTGTGAATAGAATTAGAAGCCTGATGTGAAAAGAAGCCCAGCACAGAAATCGGCTTCTAAAGCTGTCCCCTTGGAAAAACGCGATTCCGCGGCCGCGGCAAATTTCGCAGAAGTTGCCATCATCCACGAAAATCACGGAATCCACACTTTTGCCCGCGGAATCTGAATTTTTTTAGGGTAAATTACTAAAATTACTACTCAGAAAGCAGCAGAAAAACTACTTTGCGATCTGTTTGAGCACATTTCTCTTGCCAGTGCAGGTCTCTCCAAGATTCTTCACTCTTATTCAGTTTGTGACTGCAAAGGGTAGTATGAAAAGTGCTCCTTCATGCGACTAGAGGAGGGTGAAAAACTTGCAGAAAGTGCCACAGATTTTTGATTTTACCGCAGAAAATGCCGCAGAAAACCCCCCTTTTCCCGCGGAATTTGCCGCGGAATTTTGAATTCTTCGCCGCGTTTTTCCAAAGAGACAGCTAAAGGAATATCTTATTTGGGCACTGCTGGGTGGAATACACTCCCGCCGGCTTGCCGCATGTCTAGTTCAGTCTAGTTCAGTCTAGTTCCTATTACATCCCATGAGACTAAAATCGTCGTGATCGGAGCAATTTTCAAAATCCACCAATATCCTACTGACAGCTGTGCTGACAAGCACAAGAACCAGTGCGCTGCACTAGACTAGGTGCATAATTATGTTATCTTGTGCTTGAGGGTCAATAGAATGAAAATCATCGGATCATTATGTGTGTGGGACTCAGCAAGCAGCCAAACTTCATATCGCGTACAGGAAAGTCATCGCACAACTGTCACGCGATGACTTTCCCGTATACAAAGCAGTTGAGCTCAGATCAACTTTTTCACAACACGACGTTTTCCCGTACGCGAAATGAAAGTATGGATCAGGCGTTTGGAGTTCACACACCAGACTTTAGGCTGTCATCACAACATGGTACAAAGCGCTGCGTCTACGTCCACGTAAGGAGTCTTTGGTCGGTTGTCATGATGATCCGTATACGGGGTGAAAACGGGAGCAGAGAAAACGGGAGACGTGGACGTGGTATGGAGAGTATATGACTTTTTGTATGAACGTGCGTATCTCCCCCAGCCTTTTTCCGAGCGACCCTGTACTTCAATGTACGTGGGTTCAAATTTCTCCAAAAACCTGACTGCGTGTACGCATCAAGAACTGTGCCTGTCTGATGACACGACCACCCGTTTTGGTTTTTCACCATAGACGTAGACGTAAACGGGAGTCGGAGAACGTGGTGTGATGACGGGCTTAGAGATCGCGTAGTTACTGGAACGAATCGAGCAAAAACCGATGAGCTCGTACGCGAAATTGTGAGTTTGAATGCATGCTTTCAGAGTGTGATAAAGGCAAGTTATGTAATGAAGGCAGCGCGCCGCACACTGACCCATCACCACAGTTGCATACTCTTGTTTATGCACTCTTGGTAATAGGTCATACAGCAACGCCGTCAGGCGAAATAGCACGTCACAGTACATATGAGATTTTTTTTTTTTTTTTTTCATGTTGGCACTTATGAATTCAGGGGATGGCCCACGCCTGGTAAAAAGAAAAAGAAAGAAAAAAGAATGTCTGGCACCTATGAATTCAGGGGATGGCCCACGCCTGGTAAAAAGAAAAAGAAAAAAAGAAATCATAACAAAGAAAACTAAAGAAAAAAGAATGTTTGGCACCTATGAATTCAGGGGATGGCCCACGCCTGGTAAAAAGAAAAAGAAAAAAAGAAATCATAACAAATAAAACTAACTAATAGCGAAAACAATACAGCCATATAACAAGAGGTGAGG